AGAGGTTTTTAACCGCGTAGTCTGCACTACAGGCCCTGGGCCTATGCAAAACTGTTGTTGTATTTGGGCCCTTCTTTTAATTGCTCGAAAAACCAAGGTGGGCAACCAAACAGGATTTGCTTACGCCCACTCAGTGCTGAATGAGAAGCCGCGAAGTGACGGAAAGACTGCCGCAAAAAAATTGCTGCAATAAACAATGTATTTCAAAGCTCCAGGCGCTTGGATTCCACTCCTTCTCGCAAACCCATATTTTTCGAGTTGTTTGTTCAGAATGCGCCTGGCGGCACCCAGCTTAAACAAGCGTTTCTGCTGTCGCAGCAGCTTGAGCCAGGCTTGCAAACCTGGAGGCGCCACAGACAGCTCGCGAGCCACGCCGCTCCCCTCATTCCTCTCCGAAGACTCCGAGTCGCTCGATGTAGTGGAAGAGGAGGAAGAGGAGGAGGACTCACTTTGCTTGCCATTGCGTGGCCCGGCATCTTCTTGAGGTGGCTGGTCTCGTTTGGCCGGCTTGCGGTGCTGAAGCACACTGCGGCCCACGCTGTCGTACAAATGAAGGTAGTCCTGGAAACCCACCCTGCCGCATAGTGTTGTCTCAACAGCCAGCCAAGCATCTAAGCTAATTCCTGTTTCCCCAACATAGGCACCATCTGCCCCAAGCGTTGTGAACCCAAGCCAGAAAGAATGGCGAGACTCCCTGTCGTTGTTCTTGAGAAGTCCGCTTTCCTGAGATTGCTTTGGCCACACAAGAGCTCTGTAGCGGGTGGCAAAGCACACACACCAAAAAAAGAACACTAGACCAAACAAGCTGGAGCCCGCAGAGGTATTTAAACAAAATCCAGTAGCTTCAGAAACTGTAACGTTTCCCCCGGGTTGATTGAGCAGGTGAGCCCAAGTCTCCAGTATACGTTTCAATTGTTTAGCGATTCCGACGCCGGAGTGATCGAGCCCCAGCTCCGAGATGTGGACTGGAGCATACCTGAGGCTGCAACACGCACCGCCCAAGCAAAAAAAAACATGTGTGTGGGCATTCACGGAGATTCAAAAGACCTGTCTTCTCGGTTCCCTATCTGCGCGCGAGCGCGAAGAATGAACTTTGGTGCCCAATATTCAAGAAAAAACAGCTGGTCAGGGGCGCACCTTACAAACCGGCGCGTGGATCTTGGGACTTCTGGGCCACCACAAAAAACAAACAACGCGCTCGAGGGGCATCATCGCTCCATTGGCATCTGTGTAATGGACGAAGACCGGCAACAGGGTTACGCCATTGTGTAGGGTCACACTACCCACCTCTGCCCCCCAACATCTTGGTAATTTGTACACTTTGCAAGCTTCCGGCAACAAATGAAACTGGGAACGCAGATCTCCCCGCAGCAGTGCCGTGCCAGCATAGGACAAAGCTGATAAAGCATGGTGGTCATGATGCTTTTGACCGACTGGAGCGCCAGCAAAGTAGGCTTGCAGCACGCGGCCTGTGTATGCCGAGTGGACGCTTGTGCTAACCAGCGTTTGGAACATCATCCGTCCAAGAATGATGGCAATGGTGCAGTTTTCCGCCATCGAAGGACTTTTGCAATACGCGCCCGGGATCGTGGCAACAATTCCCTTCGGAAGAGCGTTCGGCCTGGAATCCAGCGCATCCGAAGAAGTTTGGTTTTCAGGGTCTTCCGTCTGTTCCTCTTCTTCTTGCGGGCGCCGCCCTCGGGGCAAAGGCTCCTGCAAGTGGGCTCTGCCAGCTTTGCGAATGGCCAGTAACTGCTTCACTGAAATGTGGAACAATCGGGCAATATAATTGTCCAATCTGGTTCCACGATCGGCCCTGCAAGCCACAGATTTTGAAGACGGAACCAATTCCCAATCCGATCCGAAGTCCAAATAGCCTGCTGCCAACGGTCTAACAAAATACTACCGGTGGCGTTTAGGGCAACGCATCAGTTTTCTGATAAAGGAACTGGCGGGTCATCGAGCCTTGGACTACGAACTCACAATTTAGACCTGTCAGTCGCAGGAGTTCTGAAAAGAAACCCGAAGCCCAAACCCTTTATCCTACGCGCTCAGATGTCGTTCCCCACTTAAACTCCACGCAGCGCGGCTTAAGCCAATTGTTGTATGATGGGGTTAGGAACCACACAGCAAAAACCACACAGTCCGTTCAAACAACCATACAACGTATAAAACTATTTACATGGGGGCCGTTCTTGATTCACTTGCAGGGCATAAGGCAGAAAGGCCCTTGCGTTCGCCCTTGCGCCTTCTTGCGCGCACCAGGTAGGAACAACCAAAAACTGATCAATCGATCAATCTTTATGACACGTCCTCTCCAACGCCTGTCTCTATTTATAGGGTTTTCGAAAGGCTCCCGGCTCCCAAATCCATGTGTGATAGTCTTGCGGTCGGCACCCCACGAGCTAGTGGAAGAGCATGCAGGTATGAACCGCCAAAGAACAATTGACATCTTGCATGGGCGCTAAAATGGCCTGTTGTTCGCCGAGAAAAAACATCTTTTTTGCGTAAAAACCCCTTTACTGCTTCGCGAGGGCTTCGTCAAAGTTTTACCGAAGGCGTCGGTGCAATCTCCCGGGTGAGTTTTTCCCCAACGCACCGCAGCTGCCCTTGCCAAACCATTTCCGCCAAGCCACGTCTCCCGTCCAAGCCGTCCGGGCTCAAACTCAAACGCAGTAGTGTGTCTGCATTCAAAACCAGTCGCTGCGCCACTTCTGGAAGTGGTCGGCCGCTACCCGAGAAATCGTCTAGGCTCAATCTTGTTACATCCTGCTGCGCCACACACAACTTTCTGGACCGCGTGGGCGGACGGCCGTGATCGTGCACGAAAGAAAAAAGTCGGGGGCCGCCAAATCTGAACATCCAAGCGAACTGCCGAGACCACACTGTTGAGTGGAAAGCGGCTCCACATCTGCGTGGGGATACTGTGTCTATGTCTGGGCATTTCCGGGGAATATATTTTTTCGCATAAATCTATAAATAATCTCTATATCTACATATACAGGACATTATGTACCTAGCAGGTGTGTCTATGTATATATATATATATCATTTCTCTCAATATGATAAACTTATGTCTATCCACCAATCCGTCGATCTATCTGTCTATGTATCCCAGAGGTCCCAGACACTCCATGTATGCCGCGTATGCTGACATTGACCCCCCAAAGTAGGCATACATGCATACATGGAGTGTCTGGGTATTTTGTTCTTCACGCGACTGATTGCCCGCGTCTCCCCTCATCGGGGCCGAGCTGATAGACCTTTCCCAGTCCTCTCGCAAAGCATTTGTCCAAAATGGATCTCTCTCGGGTATGGCCCCAATGGACAGCGATCCTGCGCGGCTGCACACCTCGCAGCCCGCTTGCAAGCAGAAGCACCCCGGGCCAGGGTCTGGTGAAATCTTCACAGCGGGCTGCGGAAAACATACAAGGCAGCCCCGCTGAAAACAAAAGCAGCCGCCCCGAGGCGACGCCATAGCAAACTAAAGGCCGGAAAAGGACTCATTGCCCGCACGAACAAGCTTAAGAGTCTGCTGCCGTTTGCTACAACATACCGTCGCCCGAAAGGTGTATGAGATAAGGTGCAGTATGAGGTTCCACGCAGACTTAAGCTTTGCAGGGCTCTGTGCTCTGTGACTGTCCGCGTCTGCTGCAACCCGCTGTAGAGATTGAAAGGTGGCCAGCCAAAAAAAACAGGTTTGTCGAAGCAACGCCGCCGAAAACACAGGTTTGTCAAAGCAACGCCGCCGTCCGACCCACACTTTCCGGCTGCCTGCTGCTCCTCCAATGAACTCGTCGGGGCCTGGGCAACAGCGTGGATGATGCGTCTGTCTGGGAGAGTCCAAAAATCATGGATCATTAGTCAAAGCTGTTCTCACACACAGTGGCAGCGACAACACCCCTATATAGTTTCAAAACGGGCGCTGTGAAATGTTTCGGCAGGTGTCGGGGGTGCCTCTTGTTTCAAAACGGACGTTTTGAAAAGTTTCCGCAGGGCTCTTCGGAGCGCCCC